GAACAGGCAGCTTCCCCAAAATTAATTTCCATTTTTATCTCTTCCTTGCATTCGCCGGCACGTGTGGGACGTCCTCCCCACACCGCTGTCACAACTACAGGGCATGTTGTGGTTGCGTGATGGAGCAGAGTTGCCTGTGCTGACAGTGATGTCCTGTCAGATGAGAGTCTGGATCCAGTCCCAGAGCTTGCCTGGTCATAAGGCTGGGGACGCCCTGGGCATGGTGCCAGTTTAAGATGCTGGCTGAAATGGGGTTGATATTTTTTCCAAGTGAAAGAACAGCCAGGCATAATCAGTCAACAAGTGTATTGTTGCCTCTGGCCCAGGTGAACTGGAGGGTACATTACACAAGAATGAATTAGATTTCTGCACTGAGTGGCACAATAGGTAACACTATTTCCTCATACCTCCAGGCCTGGGGGTGAGAAACCTGCTTCCACTCTGTGTGGCAGATGTACGTCCATCAGAGAGCGCCGTGTAAACAGCACCTTGGCCGCTCCGTAGACAGCGCAGGCTGTGTTCTGTTTAACGTTGGATGTGCAGCTCCTGAAACAGCGCTATCTACTGCAGATTAAGCAACAGGGCTTCTGAAGATGCATCCTTACTTATAAGCATTATTTTTGTTTATTTGACAACTAATTATTGGCTAATTATTGTCCACCCGTTCCATTTCAGCTTGTGTTCCCAACATATACAAAGAACTGCACAAGTCATATTTGTCAGTACCCTACAGGTATATGTTTTACTTACATTTAAGGTGATAGTGATTGTCCCCAACAGCCATGGCTATTGACTCCAGTTAACAACCCAGAAACTGCAGCTCAGCAAAACTACTAACCGCTGGCACACTGTGACTAGGGCCGTGACACAAAACAAAACAAAGCTCATTCATTCGTGTTTCTCGTTCATTGTGTTTCTTCACATTCCAGTAGTTGAAAATTATTAGTTTGTTCATTTGAACGTAACTTTCTGATTTATGTTTTTTTTACAGGTATTTTAGGTTAAGCAGAATAATTTATTCACATTGAGGTCATTCAAATAATCAAATATTTGCTTTCACTTGGCATTTGGCAGAAGGGGCCATTAAGCCTCCGTGTCTCAGCGAGTGGCTGCTAAGAGAGCGGTGGCCGGGTCATGGCCGTTTTCCTGCTCAGTGTTGGCACTTCTGCGGTACCTAACGCGAGATAGAGGAGAGCGGAGCACATGCTCTGATGTTGCTCTGAGGCTTTTACATCTGCCCAGGTTGCCCTTTGAATTTTAGCTACAGACTTTATTTGTGATGCAGCATTTTCCTCAGAGTGCTCCACGGGCCTCTGTTCAGGGTGAGCTCTCTGCCCATGCCGTGTCCCTAGCAGGTCCCGCTATGCCTTACAGACCTGCTTCCTGCTTGCTCGCTCTCTGCTGGGCCCCGTCGAATAAACCAAAACCGATTTGCCCGTTTGCAAGGAATACTTGAAGTAATAGTCATCAAACCATTATACTGGGGGTCCTGAGGCAGATAAGCAGCTGCAAGGTGGACGGAACGGCCGGGCTCGAAGGGCTGTCACCTGCAAGGGGTTAATGCAGATACTTGACCATTTGTGAAACACAGAGGCTCAATAATACTTCAGTTAAATCCTTTAGAGCAGGGTTATTCAAATCACAGTCCTCGAGGTCTGAGCCCTGCTGGTTTTCCAGCCTTCCTTTACCTGTCAGTCAGGTGTGAGGCATCTGACCAATCAGAATCAGTAATTATTAAACTAACTACCTGGGAGAACTGAAAACAAGGCCTGGATTTGGAATCGAGATCTAGATTTGAAGAACCCTGCTTTAGAGATCTCATGGTGTAAAGATAATTGTAAATATATTTATTGAAGTAACTATTTGACTATTTTAAGGTGTAGCTTTTTTAGTAATTAAACTATTATTTTGGTATTAATAACCTTTTAATCATTACAGTTATTTCCTGCTTGTGAAAATGGTCCTTTTTGGGTTTAACATGTTTTTAATAGTCTTAGTCAGGGATTATCCATTAAGAGGCGACAGTGTGCACTGTGTGCCCTGCGGACCACGGCTTAAGCGGCACCGAGCCCCGGCTTCAGCTCTGACTGCTAACAAGGCTGAGCGACTGGCTCCCGTCGGCCGTGATCATCTCCACCGAGATCATTAACCATGAAGCCTCATTCCAAACTGGCTCTTTTTACTTCTCGCTTGAAGGAGACAGATTTAATTGGGAAGTAACTCTCTGCCGGGGTTCCCAGTCAGCCTGACACACAGATACACATCACAGGTACAGACACGCACACAGACACACACACACACACATGGACAGACAGACAGACACACACACACACAGACACACACGGACAGACAAACAGACACTCACACACACAGACACACATGGACACACACGGACAGTCAGACAGACAGACACACACAGACACACATGGACACACACGAACAGACAGACAGACAAACACACACATACAGGCTGGCACACAGACACACACACACACAGACACACGGACAGACAGACAGACAGACAGACACACACGGACAGACACACACACACACACGGACAGAAAAACACACAGACAGACAGACAGACACACACACACACAGATAGACACACACACGGACAGACAGACAGACATACACGGACAGACACACACGCGGACAGACAGACAGACACACACACACGGACAGACACACACGGACACACACACACACGCGGACAGACAGACACACAGACAGACAGACAGACACACACAGACACACACACATACAGGCTGGCACACAGACACACACACATACAGGCTGGCACACAGACACACACACACACACACACACACACATACAGGCTGGCACACAGACACACACACACACACACACATACAGGCTGGCACACAGACACACACACACACACACGGACAGACACACACACATACAGGCTGGCACACAGACACACAGACACACACATGGACAGACAGACAGACACACACACACACACATACACACACACGGACAGACAGACACACACACACACACACGGACAGACAGACAGACAGACACACACGGACAGACACACACACACATACAGGCTGGCACACAGACACACACACACACATGGACAGACAGACAGACAGACAGACACACACGGACAGACACACACACACACACGGACAGACAGACAGAGAGACACACACGGACAGACACACACACACACACACACACACACAGGTTGGCACACAGACATACACACATACACAGACACACGGACAGACAGACAGACACACACGGACAGACACACGCACACACACACACAGGTTGGCACACAG